CTCTGAGCAGTATCATCAACTGTACTGCTACGAGATGTCCATCCACCTTATGGCACACCACAGTCCAGAGCTAAACAGAGCTAAAAGCTTACTCATGCTCAAAATTCCCCAAATCGATTGTCTTTTTTTAAAAAATCCAGATCTGATACAATTTGAGGGGCAAGAAGAATAAACCAGGCTTCCTCGCCACATGGCTCCACTGCCATAAACACTTTGTTTCCATTATTACAAACATAGAACGCAGCCCAGTCTCAATTACATTGTGGCTTTTCAGATATGAAACTCATTTCCCAGGCTCAATTTTAAAATTAATTCCTACTTTACAACAAATGTGTACTCTGGCAATATTCATAATTGGACTGGATTTACATAACCAGGGTACAAGGGGAAACTCCCTTCTTATTTTGAATAATGTCATGGGATCTTCAACCACCACCTGCACAGGCAGATGGGACTTTGGTTTAACATTTCACTTGAAGGACAACACCTCTGATAGATAAGAACATCGTCACACTGGAGGGTGAGGCTGCACAATGAGCCTCAATTCCCGATGTGTGGCTTGAACCCATGTTTACACAGCAGTACATATAATTAGATTGAATTTAGTGAAATGCAAGCGGGTTTCTGTTATATTTAAGCTAAGGTGTGAAGAAATCTCTTTAAAATTCAAGAACACTCCACACAAGAATTTGGGAGTCTAATTTACTACATTTCTAAATCTTGTAAGAATTTCCGTTAACTCACAGGGGGACAAACATTCCATTCAGCATTACTCACATATTCTTAGGCGTTGTCAGTCTTTAGTGGAATATTAGGCAATGTCCAGGATCCTGTGCATACCACTGTATGAGTTTTTACCCATAAACTCCACAAGTAGATTTTCCATACAATATACTCTAATTGGCAGAAGAAGTCCCTCATTTACTGAGAAATAAAGTTCAGAAATACTACAAATTAGACACCCACAAGAGCAACTTATTTAATGAATTAAAACTTAAAGCAAACTTTTCTTAACCCCCTTAACAGTTTAAAAGTGATTACTGGGAACTTTGCACACATGTCCGTGTTTGTCTAGCCAAGCTATTTACTATGAGGTTTGCCATTTATTTTGGGGCACCAGACAGTCTGTATTAGGCCTCATTAGAGTAGAGTCAGCTGGAAGGAATTACTCAGGTTCCAGTCCAGGATTCTGTTTCTCCATTACTATTTGGTCATCTTGGATTTGAGCTGCCACATCAAAGGCCACATTGGGAGGTAAAATGGCAGTGGTTACTTTTAGTAGTATTGCCAAGGTGCATAAACAAATGTGGCATTTGAGAATTTCAAAAGTTGGTCTTAAATTCCACATCATTATTCTTTCTGCACGGGGCCATGAAATCAATTATTTTCTGTTGAAATTGCCTGAAACAACTATTCGTTATTGACATTGGTTAAAATTCCTCAGTTTTTAATATCACTCCAGCCCAAGGGACATGCTGAAAAGATAGGGATGAAGAAAGCAGCAGAAACAGTAGGTATTCTGGTCCAAGGAGCAGAACTCATTGTGCACCAGTTGAAGTAACTTGCTTCAGTACTTGAACTTCATTTCAGTTTCAGTCCAAACTCTGGACTTCTTTGACCCCTGAATTTGTTCCTCACTTCAGCCCTAAACAAGTTATTTTTACTTATATTGGTTGCACTTACTGATGATGTCAATGTGAAGCAATCTTGGGTTTCTGTGTTCAGCTATTGATTTGATATTACCACCACAGCTGGATTGCCAGCAATATGCATTAGTTGATCACCTTTGAGGTTGTTGGCCTTGTTTGAGACGTTGTTATTGGTATCTGTTGAAGTGCTTTCCCATTAGATCAGATTCTGTAGGTGTCTTTGCCAGTGGAGAAAGACAAGGAATAGCACCGCAGGCAAGATAGTAAAATACCCATGGCTCATTGGTGTATGGTGCTAAGTTAATCCTTGTATTTGACTTGTAATCATAATGAAAACTTATAAGCGTCAGCCTGGTTCAATTGTTAGCTCTATCACCCCCACCCCATCAATACCTACATTCAAATCATACACGTGAAAGGTCACATCTTGTGGGCCCTGTATGTTAAATATTACTAACCCCGTTTGGATGAAATGGGAATTCTGTTAATATATCCACAGAGGTGAAAGCTTTAAGTAATTTACTGCCCATGTAAAAAAAACTCCTCCAGAGAAAAACACTCTTTTCATCGGAATAGTAATTGCAAAGAATTTGGCCGATGGCTGTGGCAGTCAATAAAGTGCAGCTTTCCCAAACTTGTCCAAACTGCTAAAATATGTCCTGAGGTCATCCATTTAGACACCCATCAAGAGTAGAATATGGTAAAAGCACCAGTATCTACAGAAAAGAAACAACTTGAGGCTATTCCTACATTCCAGATGTCAAACAAATTACACAAAAAATTCCTACAACTTATTGATCAAGTTCAAGTGCATACCTAGTAAAAACCTTTCTTTTTTGTGTACAACTTAAATTTGCTCCATTTTGACAATTTAAGCTCTTAATGTCAAAATAAATCGACATCAATACAATCTGTAAACAGAATGGCATATTTACAAGTATGTGTTGGTTACAAAATGTAAAGCTTTCAAAAATCACACCATCCTCTCAAAAAGAAATACACTGAGAAATAAATACTCAGGAATGTGTCTAGTTTCTTTATGAAACCCTACACTTTCCATTTGTGTCTGTTGCCCTCATATTGAGGCTAGGTATAGCAATCCTTGCATTTTCTCTATAATAAATTCAATCCAGTGGAACTGGTTTTGTAAAAGCTCCAAAAGCAATAGTGCCATGAACACCCAGTAAGTCACCGCTTACCAAATTCTGAGTTAGTGTTATGATATTTGATCACCAAGTGGGAGCATGTAGAGGTTGAAGAGGAAGGGACCGAGGACAGAGCCCTTAGGAACACGGCACGATACTGTGCACATAGCAAGCGCACATAGGAAGACACTTTGTGGTTCAGCAAATTATCAGTGTCCCAGTTATTTTAACAAGGTAGACAATTTGGTCAACATAGTGACTTGCATTAAGATAATTACTCTTCACATGCTTAAGATTAGCACATTTTATTACATTACCACATAATGGTTTCATTTTGGTATTTAGCTTCAGCAATTGAAAAACCTGCATTCCCCAAAATTGCACTGGTGCATTTGAAACCTTAATGCACAGAAGAAATATCTTTGGATTCGAATTATGTTTTGAGGGGTATTATTTGGTTCTCTCCTTTGATCTTTTGCTAAAGCTGTGTATCACCAGGGAGGCTCATTTTAGCTGTGAAGAGGAAAGAGTGGTCAGCTCACCGACTTGACACGGTTCTTAACCAACCGACAAGAGTTTTACTAATAGCAGAATCTAAGCACAATGGGGTGAAGAAGAAATGAGAATTCTCCATGGTTGGCAAGATGTTAACTGATAGTTTGATTTGATTGCAGGAATTTTCCATTATAACCCCACATTAATTTAATTTAATCCTTGCATTTGATATAGCGCTTTTCACATCGGGAGGACGTCCCAAAGTGCTTCACAGAACACACTGTAAAGTAAATTGACTGTATATTTATGAGCGAACGCGGCAGCCAATTGCGCACAGCAGTGTCCCACAAACAGTCGTGGATTGAAAATGACCAATTTATTATTGTTTTTGGTTTTGGAGGGATTATTATTAGGCGTGTGGAGTAGGGAAACTTGCCCAAGGTTTCACCCTGCCTGGAATTGAATCAGGTCTCTCGCTTGCAAAGCGAGTGCTCTAACCACTGAGCTACAGGACACCACATTGAAAAATTTGCAAAAGTAAGTGCTTACACCATATATTTACCAACAATTGGAGAATTATTACAATGTTATTCTAGTGCTGAAATTTCAATATCACGAATGAAACGTTCAAGAATGCTATATGTATTACTCACCGATTACACAATAATACGTCCTGTGGTGCAGGAAACTAAAAATCAGGGCCAATTCAAATGTAATGGGGAGGGAAATGGAAAGAATTCCACCACATGAGCGGATGGTATAAAATGTTAGGTTCTTAAAATCCCCAGTGAGCATCTAACTACTGTCTTTACTTATCCATCTCAAATGTCTGTCAGTCTGTAACAGAAGCAAACATTGAGGCTATTGAGAAGAGATCAAAGCAGCCCTGCCAACTGCAAAGCATTTTCCAGACTGTTGATCATGTCAAAGCTCATGCAAGGCTCATGAGAAGCTGCAGATACAGAGTGCCAGAGTTCTCTTGTGATGCTCTCAGTTTCCTGCTCCAGAATCGAGCTTTCCTCTGGACAAAATTAGAGCATTAACCTTTGACATTTCCAGAGCATTTGACAAAGTTTGATTCACCAGCGTTATACAGGAAAACACGAGGTTTGCCCTTCAGCATCCCAGTGTAAATTCATTGAGCATTTTGTCCTCTCTGAAACCGCTACAAACAATTCTGGAAATACCGTCGTTTCTTAACAGTGGTTACACTTTAGTAGTGCTCCTGTTTAAGGAGGATTAGTTGGAAATGGTACATTCATCTGAGGTTGAAAAGTATTTTTAAATTAGAAAAAAATACAGAAATGAGAAGCCAATAGGGCTGCAGTGACCAAAAGGTTAAGTATGGACCTCAGTGTTTAAATATGTAAATATTTAGAGCAAAGGCAAGACCCAGTCAAGAAATATGGTGGTGCAGCTGTCTTGCTGTCAGTGTAAGCCCCTCTACTTGCAGAATGTAACATCATTCTTGTTTATTCCACAACCTTTTGTGACCTTCTTCAGTGGAGCAGCAAATGTTTGCCCTTTCGTTATTTGTGTGTGAAAGACGCTAGGTAAAGATTCCAATTTGGCACAGAACATAATAATAGAAAAAAAACAATATTTGTGACATATCCCATCTTTTACCATGTTTGATTAGTGATGCCTGGGTCCATATATACCAGAGATGTTTGGGTCATTGACAAACCATATAGACCAGTGGTGGTTGGGCCACGGACTGAGACCAAATACCGTATACACCAGTGCAGCACAGGAAACCTGCTTCAGCACATCAATATCCCTCTTCACATAAGGCAAAGCATTTCAGATGAATTCAGTGACATAGACTCAGACCTAAACAAGAAAAATGAACTGTAAAGGTAGGCCCGCCATTAAACCATTTCATACTGTTCAGCATTTTGTTTGCTGCGTTTGTTCTAACAACAAGAAAGATGAGGATAGTTGTAGCTCTCACAAACTGTTGTGTTTAAAGAATATACAGTAATTTATTGCGTGTCTTGATTTATAGGCCAAATGAAGAGTTTCACTTGGGCAATCATCTTGGGTGCCTTGCTTCTCAATGCCTCAGCCAGCTTACCACAAACTAGTGAGTAGAATTCAGAACTGGACAGTAGATATTTAATACTCAACTTGTTCCTGTGCTATACATTAATGCTGTATTTATTTTGCATATAAATGTCAGAAAGCAAAAAATAGAACTTAAAGTCCAACACTTATTCTGAGATTGTTTTCATTAGCTAGTACAATTTCTTGATGTAATTTGTAGGTTAGATGCTGCATTAAGCACCTCAATTTCCTTGTATAAATTTAATATCAGTATTGCAGAATTTCACAAGATGCAGATTGCTTTGTTGACTAGTACTGTACTTCTTTCGTCAAGTCTGAATTTACAATCATTTCAAACAATGTCACTGTTATTAAAATCACAAGCTTGTAAAAGTTGTCCTCAAATTTATTCACTTAGTGCGATTTATCCACAGGAGCATTACTGCTGAAAAGTTTAATTTCTAATAATGATTTAGCACCTTGAATCTTAACATGGCTTTGGTATTCTATGACTACATTTTAGTCATAAACATTTTGCATTTAATTTGTTAATACACTATTTCCTTGTAAGTAGAAATGTATCATTTGAATTGCCATAATAGCCATAAAAAGAGACAAAAACAACAACAACACAATTGCATTTATAGAGCGCCTTTCATGTTGGGAAAATGATTAATGAAACATACACACTTTAGCAGACATAGGCTTCAATACATCAGACATAGAAGTGCACCACTTCTCCACACTGTAATTTCCCAAACCCCAAGACCCCAGCAATGAATAGTCTAAACAAAGACAGTCTAGTTAAGAGAAGGAATGATCATTATAATGCTACAATCATTGCTCATTGCAAGATCATCACTCATCTATTATTTGGAGTTACAGTACAATCTAATTCATTCAACAGTCTCTAGAGTAAATATACTTGAATAAGTTCAGCTAAGATGCAAAGAAACTCATAGCAAAAACAGGTCAAATGTGAATCATACAGAGTTTTCTCCCCCACCCTCTAACTCAGTAATAAATGGAAACCTTAGCTCAACTCAAATTAAAATTTTAAAGCACTTCTAGCCCTGCAAATAGAAGAGCTCATTTCTGGTTTGGATAAGATTGAGTTTAACAGCTCACTGGGCAAGGTCTGAATGAATTGACTGGATTGAAATGACCAACAGCAATTCCATGCATTAGGAAATATCTGCCTTTCTATGTATTTAGACTCAAATGTGAAATATTCTTGGCATTAGTTTTGCTGACACACACAGCTGAATCCTTCAACCATTATGTAACTTAAGTTATTAACTGCAATTCAAGTACCATTTTTACACTTTAAGGAAACATACAATACTTGAAAGAATATATTGAAAATCATCCGCTCTATCTTTCCTTTCTAAAACACATGATATTTTACCTGCAAATAGTTTCTCATTTTCCTATATATGTGTGAAGGAAAATAGATAAATCAACACACAACATTAAAGAAACCCATTCCCAATGTCCCATCTAATTTTCATTCTATTACCTGATTGTTTGCCCATCATTCTCCAGGCTGTTTGCAAATTGATTTCCAGACTATCTTTGGATTTTTTTTCATTTCTATATCTTGCATTCAATTTCAGACAGTTTCTTCTCTCCTGGGTATCCACTGTTAGGTGCCTCCAGGACTTAAGCACCCTGAAACATTCAATTGCTTTAAAGATGGGACTGAGGGACTTTAAAGATGGAAATAGTTTAACCTTAATTCAAAATGCTGGACGACATTCTCCTCTCTGCCAGTTGGATAGGTCTAAAGTGAAACAAGTTTGGATGAGTTAATCATCTTTAAGCAGTCACTGGCTTTCAGCACATAAATACTTATAAATTGTTAATAAATTGGCAATCAAATCCAGAGAAGTCTTCTGGTGGCTGGAGAGAGGCAGTTTAGTGGATTAAAAACACTTAGTTATTAGGAGTACTAGTCTGAGTTTCAACACAGATTGTTTGAGCAAATGAGAGAGAACTTTACCCTCCATCTAAGCTAAATAATTCTATTGATAGAAAAGTCATTTTGAAAACTGGATTTCTGAAATAACTGAAAATGTAGAACATGTGCAGAAGGTTGATTTGTTCTTGAAAGAGAACGATGTTTGAATGTAATTCTCCACCCCTAAATGACCAGAGAATCGTAGAACTTGCAACAGAGAAGGAGGTCATTCGGCACATTGTTTGTGGGACATTGCTGTGCGCAATTGGCTGCCGCGTTCGCCTACAAATATACAGTCAATTCACTTTATAGTGTGTTCTGTGAAGCGCTTTGGGACGTCCTCCCGAAGTGAAAAGCGCTATATCAAATGCAAGGATTATTATTATTATTATTATTGTGCTTCTGCCCGCTCTTTGAAAGAGCTATCCAACTAATCCCACTCCCTGCTCTTTCCCTATAGCCTTGCAATACGTGTTTTCCAACTTATATTTCCAACATGGATATCCCTTTCTTAATAAGGACTCTGGAACTGCCTTCCTCACTCCCTTCATCTCGCTCCCTCCCTTCCCATTTTCAGGTCTCTGCTGAAGACCTTTCTTTTCGACCGTGCCTTTGGTCACCTTCCGCCCCCTCCCCCTGGCTCGTTCCCGGTATCCATTACTGTAAAGTGCTCTGAGACGCCATCCAGAGCAGAGGGCACTATATAAATCCAAGTTGTTGTTGTTGCTGTAAGGACAAAACAAACTATAATTAATGGGAGCTGACCATTTTAGTTAAGTCAACAGGAAAGTATTGGCTATTGTTTTAATAGTGGAAAAGAACAGCTACTCTACATCCTGTGGAGTGATGGAATCAATGACAGGAGGCACATACTGTTGGCAGTGCCAACCTTCAGAATCGGTCATAAGTGTTTTCAGATTTAAAAGCATGAAATAATGATGTTCAGTCCCAAACCTGTAAATAGTTTTTAGGTACATTTTCTGGCTAGTCAATAATTGTTCCTTGATTAAATAATCTTGTTACAATAATTAGGAAATGCACGCCTAGTTTTAGAATACTATATGTTGCCTTATAACGAGGATCTCAAATAGGAGTAAAGAGGACAAATGTGAATGGAGCCTGGACAGTGAAACTGCAGTAGCAGACCAGTTAAACAAGTCAACCACATTAAAATGCATATTAAAATACTATTCAAACTCACATTTATATTGTATTGTATATTCACTCTCCAGGTTTTGTGCAGGCAATCATTGTCATTACTTAAATATATTGATGGACTGTGTGGTTAGCTTCAAGATAAAGGTAGATATTTGACAAAAATAGCAATTGAGGGTTCATAAGAGAGACAGAGATAAGTAGCATTTTTAATCATTGTTACCATCTACGCCACTCTTTACTGGTTCTATACATTCCTATATTCCTGTGCTAATTTTTTATTTGAACATCAGAACCAGTTTTACGTGAATTTACTGATGTCCACTACAAAATAAGAGGTTAATAATACCACTTTTAATGAAATAGTAGGATCAATTAATGCAGAATTCTATTGCATGTTTGCTATTGGTATAAATTTATAGAGAAATTCGGTCAGCCTGAATTCCCAAGAGATTTTACTTTTATATTATCCTACTTTGAAGTTTGAAAAATAATATAGAATTACACAGACATGGAGTGTACAGTAAGGAAACAGGCCTTTTGGCCCAACTAACCCATGCCGGTGTTTATACACCCCATGACATGACCCACTACCCTTTCTAATGCTCTCTCCCTATCCCAATCCCATACTATTCCATGCTTCTTCAAGTATGCACCATCACAAGGAACATATTATGACTCCAGCCCCAATTGTAGACCAAATTACAATGCGTTATTTTATTTATTTGGTTTCTCACCTACATTTACATCTTCCTCTTTTCTCACAGGTATAGAAAAAATAACAATGGAGAAAACTAACTTGACATCTATATCTTCAAAGACCCCTGAAACAGTTACCAAGTCTCAAGAAGACAAAGTGGCTAATCTTCAATTAATAACCTTTCCTACACATTCTTCTACTATGGCTGTAAATGAGAGGATGGTTGATAAAGGACCTATTTTAGGCAATCCAACAGTAAAACCAGTTAATCATATCACTGTTTCTGTACCTCCAATAGCAACTACTGTCACTCAAAGCCCCAATGTGTCAAGTCAGAATAATGCCACTATAAATCCCCTGTTGTTGCTTAAAACAAGTGTTATCATGAAACCACCCCCTACTTTGCCAGAGAAAATTAGGATGATTCAGTCCTCTGTTGATTTTGAAGATATTATGACAGAAAAGCTTCCAGTAAGCAGTAGTCTAATACCCACACAACAGCCACCTGAGAACAATACAGTCAGCCTGGGTTCCACCTCCTCTCAGAACATCAGCAATGCTACTGTAGCTATCAAGCCACTCAAGAAAAAGAAGAAGAATTTGGCCCTTAAACCAGGAAAGAAGATGGCTTTCTCAGTCCCCAAACCCCTGAAGAATGATACTATCACTGAAAACCCCAAGATCACGGGAAGAAAGAACAAAACAAAAGTTATCTCCAAACCTCTTAAACAGGGCAAAGGAACAAAAGTCCTAAAGAAACGCAAGAAGCCTAGGAAACAATTGTCCTCTAAACTGAAATCAAAACTCAAGAAACCCCAAACTAGTGTGAAACCAATCCAGGTACAAAAAAAGAGACAGAAAAAGAAGAAAAGTCAAAGAGCAGAGAACAAAAGAAGAGTTGAGGCAACAGTGTTTCCTTATTTCGAAGATTATTATTGCCCGCCTGAGTGTGCTTGTTATGGAAGGTACGATTTACTTTGGAAGATTATTACCAGTTCTAAATGTCAAATGATGTATTCTGACTTTGAAACCAAGACTTTGTGTGCCACCTTCAACTTGTTTGATCTCTGCTGCCTTTGATACAGTCAATCACTCTATCCTCCTCGATCGCTTCTCTCATCTACTTCCATGGGACTGCACTTTCCTGATTCTAATTCTACTGGACCCATGACCTGCACTTTGTTTCCTCCCATGGCTTTTCCTCTTGTTATCACACAGGGCATCTATAGTGTACCTCGGGTCTCTATCCTTAATCCCCTGCTTGTCTTCATCTATTTGCTCCCTCTTGGTAAGATCATCTGCAAACATGGGGCTATTTTCCACATGTACACAAATGACTCCCAAATCTACTTCTACCCCTGGTTTCAAGTCTACTGATGTTCTGACCCTCTGCCAGCTAAACATCAACTCCTGAATGAGCCTGAACTTTCTTCAGTTAAAAGTGGGACAAGACAGAAGCCATTGTCCTTGTCTTCTGCCAACTCCTCCTTGTTTCTGGCTCAAACTTCCTACACCTTTCCGGCCCTTCTCTCTGATTCACTGAACCAGTGCACAACCTAGGTTAGACCCTCAAGTACCTTTCCTCCTTCACATCCAGTCCATGACCAAGACACTAGCTTTTCACATTTTCACCACATCACCCGATCCATCTCTTATCTCACACCCAATTCTGCCGAAATCCTAATTCATGCCTTTGTCACCTCTAGACCTGTTCAACTATCCTTCTCACAGGTCTCCCCAGCTCCACCATCCACAAGCTCCAATATATCCAAGACTACACCGGTATCCTTATACAAACAAAACTTCACATGCCGAATCCTCGTCAGATTCCATTGGCTTCCTGTCTCCAAGGGGATCCTCACCCTCACCTACAAATCTATCTCCCTACCTAAGTGATCTCAACCCTCACTCTCCTGTTCATTTCCTCCACCTGACCTGGTGCGTGTCTGCTGCTCCATCTATCAGCAGTGAGTTTCAGCCCCACCCTCTAGAACTCACTCCCTCATCCCACAATCTCTCCCTGTCTTGTCTTCAAAAAAAACTGAAAACCTAACTCTTCAACTGTGCCTACCAGCACCTCTCTTCTTCCACCCTCACTCGCCCTGCAATTTGACCATGACCCTATCTCTGCGATGCTCACCAAGATGCTACTCTATGTGAAGAGTGCATTCTAAATGCAGATTGTTATTGTCAAAGTATGTCTTTTAACCTGTTGCTAAATATCACGGAAGACTTAAATTGGACAACATTTCTTAATGATATAAGGTTGTAAAATGTGGTATGTGATATGCTAAGCATCATATTGTGGGACATCCCAGCAAGTACTGCTGTGGGGAACTCTAAAGACAGTTTCTATAATTAATGAATTAGCCACTCGTATACCAGAAATTTAGAGCTAATATTGGCCTAATTCAACCTTAAAAGTGAGTGGGTAAGTGAACAATTTCCCCACAATGGTTAAATAATCTGCCGGCACTCACTGCCTCAGCTCAGGCTGCTTTGTTTAGACACCGATGCTTGTGTAATTGGACCTCAACATCGAGATAGTCTTTTCGGGAGAGGAGGAGAAGAGAAAATTGATCAACAAAAAGAGTATTTTAGGACATATACTAATACATAAAGACAGTTAATTGTGCTTGAATGTTCAGCTTATTCAACCAGAAATCATGTTAATGCTTCTGGAAAGGATAATTTGATGTCTGCATGTTATGCAGTGTAAAATTATGATTTTTTTAGCTAAATTACTTAATGTATCCTGTACCAACAAAACATAGCATGCTGCTCATACAGTGAATACAACAGGACCAAGTCCCTCCCGCCACCCTCCTTCCACACACCTCCTGCTGTGAAACATGCCTGAACTGAGAGATACTTATTCCAAAGCAATAAAATCATTAAAGCACACATGTCCAGCAGACAACAACAACAACAACAAAATTATCTTTGTAAAGCGCCTTTCACATCGGGAGGATGTCCCAAGGTGCTGGACAGACAGAGTTTCGGACCTGAGCTGGGGGTCGGGATCGGGGAGGGTGGAGGGCAGGGGGGGAAGCAGGGAGATCGAAAACACAGTCAAAGAGGAGAGTCTTCAAGGAGGCAAGGGAGGGGGCTAGACAGAGGGACTGTAGGATGAAGTTCAGAGGGCGGGGGAAGAGTGGCAGAAGGCCAGCCCACCAATAGTGGGGCAAGCAAGGCGGGGGACGTGAAACAGGCTGGAGCCCGCTGAACGGAGGGAATAAGCAAGATGGTAGGAGGGAGCAAGACCATGGAGGGCTTTGAAGGTGAGGACCAGGCAGGGCGAAACCTTGGGCAAGTTTCCTTATTCCACACGCCTAATAATAATCCCTCCAAAACCAAAAACAATAATAAATTGGTCATTTTCAATCTACGACTGTTTGTGGAACATTGCTGTGCACAATTGGCTGCCGCGTTTGCCCACAAATATACAGTCATTTCACTTTACAGTGTGTTCTGTGAAGCGCTTTGGGACGTCCACCCGGCGTGAAAAGTGCTATATCAAATGCAAGGATTATTATTATTATTATTATCATTATTATACTGTCAGGGCCTGAGGAGGCGCTGACAGGAGTCAATCAGGAGAACCTGGGTCTTGTTGACGTTCAACTGAAGAAAGTTAGCTCTCACCCAGGACTTGATGTCCGACAGACATTCAGTCAGAACAGCAGTGGTCCTGGAGTCAAGCATGGAGGCAGAGAGGTATAGTTGGGTATCATCCGCATACATGTGGAAGTTGACCCCATGTCTGTGGATGATGTCACCAAGAGGGAGCATATAGATATTAAAGAGGAAGGGGCCAAGGACAGAGCCCTGAGGAACACCGCACGAGATGGTGCGGGGGCTAGAGGAGAAACCGTTTGTGGAGATGAAGTGGAGGTGATGTGAGAGGAACGATCTGAACCAGTCAAGGACAGAGCCGTGGAGATTGAGGTGAGAGGAGAGGTGGTGGATCAGCATAGAGTGATCGATGGTGTCAAAGGCAGCAGAGAGGTCATATATTAGGATGACTGAAGCTTGGTGCTTTACTGAAAAATAACCCACTCATGAATTGGAGCTTGTACTGACAAGTGGTCTTTGTGAATTATTTGTTCTGCTACAGTTTGGCAGTAAGTTGTTCAGTAAAACTACTGGGACTGTCAGTCCCCTACTTCAGCTTCAAACAATCATTTATTTATGGCATAGGTCGTCTTGGCAATCTCCACTTTCACAATGATTTCTCTATGAGCTGTGGGGAGATTTTTCAACAATAGCTTCTCTGTTTCTCGACAGTGGCCCCAAGAACTAATGTGTGATTCATATACAGCTATTAAGCTCTGTTTGTAAACAACAGCGCACAATCTACGATTCACCAGTTAACTCATTTTAACCTTTTGGCTGCGATTGTGTGCTGAGATTTGAAATAATCTTTTGCAAGTACTTACTATTAACTACCTTTTCTTATCCAAATGATCCAACTTTGGCTTCATGTGGTTCAAGCTTTGTAAAAAAATCTACTTGGCAAACTTTTATCTTGCAGAGGAAACAGAGCTAGAATTGTTAAAAGATCTTTAAAATCTAGTTCGCAGATGCAGAAAGCAACCAATAAGTCAATTGAGACGCTGACCTTTATTACAACAGGTCTAGAATATAAAAGTAATATATAGTTATATAGAGTGCTGCTCAGACCTTACCTAACATTGTGATTTAACCACTGCTTTAAGCAGCGAGTTTTACAACCTCACTACCCTCCGCGTGAAGTAGTTCCTCCTAAATTCTCTTTTGGATCCCCTAGGTGCTATCTTACACTTGTGTCCCCTATCGAGGCCAACCTTAATTCAATTTAACACTTTCAATGAAGCCATAAATTATGAGGGCAACGTTCAAGATATTTGTGAATGTCATCAAAACTGTGAGATTGATTTTCAGCCAACACTTAGTGCTAGACATTTGTTATTCTTACAGGAACTAGCGTATTGTTTATTTCTTTTTCCTGACACTGGGATTATATCTTTGTCAAGTAGTTTCACTCCTTCCCCTTGCTGGCCTCTCTATGCTATACTCATTCAAGGCCAGGCAGTCTTCCTGAACCTCCTGAATTTGCCCCTGGGAAATACCAAAAAAACAGCCTGAGGATGAACTCTGGTTTTCCTTTCCCTTTTTGAGAGGAAATGCCAGTCAACTCTATGTTTTAGCTGAAATCAGGAACATGTCAAGGAAGAGGGGATAGAGAGAGAGAAATTCATTGAAAACAACCATGCTCAGAAGTTAGAATTTTAATAAGATACAAAATACTGTATTACAATGTCATAAGATGGCCAGACAGTGTTCACAAAGGTAAGTTGCATGATTTTAAATGGTTAAATTCCAGCATTAGTAACTCCAGTGCCTTGGCTGGGACCTCCACACCTTGGCTCTTGTCAACCTGCGTCTATTACTCTCTGGAATCAGGTGAGCACACTTCATCCCTCCAGGGAAAGAGTACGTATTCCATTCCAGAGAAAGGAAAGTTTCCAGGCATATAGGGAACTTTCGGTTTGCTTTGGACACTCTTAAACATGACAATGGTTTTCCATGTGTGTTAGAGATCCATCTGACCAAAAATTATATACATATATAACTGGATAAAGTCATTCAGCATAGGCCTGGGTGATTGTAAAGACTCATGAAGCTGGTAACATTGTGCTTTCAGAGGTGTTCATATCTGTTTAGGCAATTCCTTTTGAACTTTCAGAGTTTATTTAGTACCTATTAACTCTACATTCTTGAACCATCTTAATTTGAAGCACACATTTGGAGTATTTCAAATAAGACAAGTCAAATACTAGTTCCCGATGAGGGAGCACAATCACTGCAGTATTATTCTGCAAAAGAAATATTGGAATCTGCATTGTAATTACAAACTTCAAACAGGTTGAAAAAGAGCAATGAGACAACGTTACTTTTGTATATACTGTGTATATATAATACATATGTATATATATATGTAAGTTTTCTTTAGTATTAAATGTTTGGATGTTTTCTTTCAGAATAGTCCAGTGCTCAGATAAAGGAGTTGATAAAATGCCATATGGAATTCCCTTCAATACCAGGAACCTCTTCCTAATGAATAACAAGATAGAAATGATCCAGATGGGTCTCCTCAGTGAATACCTCTCACTAGAATTTATAGTCCTCAACAACAACAAGCTGACAGACGCTGGAATCGAAGGTGCCTTGGAAGGCATAGAAAAGCTGACTCGTCTCTACATGGACCAGAATCACCTCCACAGTATTCCCACAGATCTACCGCCCACCCTGGAAGAATTGATGCTGAACTCAAATAACATCAGTCAGATGTCAGCGTATGTCTTGGCAAAGTGCACAAGTCTCAAAAGCATTAGCCTGAACAATAATAACATAACCGATGAATCCATTCCTGAAGGTGCCTTTAATCAGGTACAGAACCTACGCATCATTAAAATGAATCATAATCTGTTGAGTGTCGTCCCTGCTAATCTTACCACAAATCTTCGAGAGCTGTACCTGGAAGGAAACCAGATTATAAAAATCCCAGATAGTGTGTTTGCAAATTCCTCTGAACTAACACACCTCGATCTCCACAATAATCACCTCAATAGTAACGGAATTGGGGATAAAGCCTTCCTGCATATGGTAAGACTTGAACATTTGGACTTAGGGAAGAATGCCCTCACCTCTATCCCCAAACAGCTCCCACACTCTTTAAAAACCCTCCTCCTGCAGGAAAATAACCTCACTTCAATAAGGAAGAATGTATTATGGAATATGTCAAAGCTAGAGGAAATCCACTTAGAGCACAATAAAATCTCAGTTGTGGCTGCTGGTGCCTTTAGGAGGTTGATGGGTTTGCGTCATTTAGACATCAGTTACAATCAACTCACCCGGGTCCCTCGTCAGCTACCCCTGACGCTGTGGTACCTCTACCTCCACAACAATCAGATCAATTTCATTCCTGCAGACTCTTTCTGCGTCCGGCGACGAGCAGAAAGTCGTCTGATTCTTGTGCGACTTGAGAAAAATAACCTTGACCACAGGCAGGTCGATGTTCATTCATTGAAGTGCCTGAGGGGCTATCAGGTGATCCACTTTTACTAAGCTTTTACTATCGGTTTTACTAATCAAAAGGGAAATTTAAAGCCACCCTTCAGATCCTGGCATGGATTTTAAACTCAAACTCAGACTCACAATGAAGAGATAGTGTATGAAGTACTGTTGCTCCATTATGCATTCAGGGCAGAACACAAATTACTTTGATGTTCGCTTTCTTTATCACAAAATAACACTATTGTACACTATTGTAAGAACACTCATTTTGTGAATACAACAAAGAGTATAAATGTACATTTCCGTGTGAAGTAACCCGAGGATGCTGTACTGTAATAAATACATCAAAACAAGACAAAGACTACATGTAGCTTTGATATGTTTGTGTTTTATGGGTGTAGATTGTTGAGAATGAATAAAGAGGCATTTAGTGATCAAGCAGATTCTCTTTGATTCATTTGCTTTGAACTTTTACCCAAGTATATGTAATTTCTATATCAAACACACAATTTGTATAAAACGACATTGCTAATTTGAAGACTGCAGCTGACACATAACATCTGCCCTTCAGAGGAAGCAGATGTTCATTAGTGTATGGTTTATTTATTAATGGATCACGTTCCTGTGACTTGTACTCTGTGCAAAAGTGAGATTTGTGAACTGAATCTGCTGAAGACCTTTCTTTTCGACCGCACCTTCGGTCACCTTCCCCCCTCCCCCTGGCTCCGTCCCAGGATCCATTACTGTAAAGCGCTCTGAGACGCCGTCCGGCGTGGAGGGCGCTATATAAATCCAAGTTGGTGTTGTTGTTTGTTTGTTGTTGTCCATAGAGCCAGAAGTTTGCAGTAAGCGCTGTGTTATTGTCAAAATAGTAGTCAAGTATATTTCTCTCATTATGTGAGTACAGAGCTCACACATTGTAAAAATCTATCAATTCTCACTTCAGTTCTTTTAATATCTAGTAGAATTTCTTTAATTAATGGGTTGAACACTTCAGTGATGAATGATGCTGAAATTGGGTCTGAGATTAAGGAGCAAGCCAATCGGACTTGGAATACTTCAGTCAAGTAAAGGATCAGTTTAGATCTGTTTGCTTTGGCTCAGGGAGGTGCAGAGTGTTATAAAATGGTGGATACTGTGCTGTTTCTTCAGCTCAATATTATGAAAGCTGTTTCTGTCTAGAAAGCTGGCAGCAGTCTGCTGAAATCATTAAACGTATGATTGGGAGATTCTGCTATCCAAAGTCCTACTTTAGGATCATAATTGTACGGTTTGCTCCAATTATACTGTCAAAAAGTAAATAAACAATAACAGCATGTTAACACGCCTTTACTCTCTGCACCTCACTTGAACTTTCATTGGCTGCTGCAATTCTGTTTTGTTTTTGTCCCAGTGCTTTCCATCTTGATTTGTGCATGATTCCCCCCTGTTCTGCCTCTACTCTTATCTTTGTTTTCATCAATCTATTGTTTTTTTTCCTCCAGCTTCAAATGTGCATTTTGGAAGGTGAACATTTTGAAAATGATTTGGATTGGTTCGAAATTAGGCTGGCACATTGGTTTTACAGCCATTGATAGCCTAAAATAGTGATGATTGACAGACCACAATGAGGAGGCGAGTTGTGAACGAAGAAGCTCGCTGGTAGCCCTAAGACATGTCAGAGGCTGGATGAATGAGACACGATGTAGCTTTACAAGCATCAAATACTGACTCTAGGTGGCACCATGATGACTCTAGTTTTGATAGTTTATCCTACTTAATAAAACGTTTTATTCTTTAACAAGGCAAATAAGTAATTGCTGTGGTGGGTATCAGCCTGGATATCAGCATTCCTGCCTCGGAGGCAGGAGGTTGTGATTTCAAGCTCCATTTAAGGATTTTGTGCTCATACTATCCTGGACTCCAGTAGTGAGGGAGTACTGCAATGTTAGAAATGCAGTGCTTCGGATGAGATATTTGAGACATTTCAATAACATGCAAAGATTATACACCACATTTATCAACCTCTGGAAAATAAAGTGTTGTATATTATTACTATCATAGAATTATTTATTGTGAAATATTAATCCTTAATAAATACAGGATATGACATTGGGTATGATAATAATAATAATCCACAAGTAGTATAGGGTTAATTTCGGGGGAAAAAATAGTGCCTGTCTTCACAAACGCAAAATAGAAAATAAATGGGAAAACAAATTTATTCACAGTCTTTTTCACTTCCAACTGACCTATAAAAATAACCTATTTGTTATGACGTGCAATGTTTTAGGAGCAGTTTATAATGGTGTGAGGTGCTATCATCGCTGTTCTTTTTCAGCACAGTTACAGCACAGGTACAGCGAATTTAAAGCGATTTGACCTACTGTTCCCTTAACTCCCTGTCATAAAATGTAGTTGAACTGGAAATGGAGTGATATTAACAAACAATAATAATAATAAAAATTAATAATGCTTGCATTTGATATAGTGCCTTATCACATTTTCGAGACATCTCAAAGCTCTTCACAGAATATACTGTCAGAATTGACTGTGTATTTTGTGGGTGAAACGCAGCAGCCAATTGCATACAGCAGTGTCCCACAAACAGTCACACAACCAGCCAAATGATTCAGTGCTATAGAGTTAACAGTATTTGTATTTTGTTTACATGCAATGGTTAGCCACAACCATATAAATGCAACTCAAGGATCAACGAAGGCTTGTAAAGAAAAGGGTTAGTGCAGTCTGCAGGAATCTTGGTTGCATATGTTTAGCTGTTGATGGTAGATTGATTGATGACTCAATTAGAGGATCCAACAAACGTTCGAGCGACAAAATGATGGCGTTCATATTAAAAAATCGTATTGGAATAAGCCTGTCCAACAACAGCTTTAATAACAATCTGATCAATCTTTTTAAAGTGAAATGTTAGCAATTCACCAAGTGATCCTTAAGGTCCTATAGGACCACACCCCTCCTCCAAATGCCTCGTACCTGCCACTTCAAAACTGCAGAAATGCCTTTAACATGAGATTGGTAGTCTTGTCTTCAAGCATTTGCACTGAAGGTTTTATCGCTCCTGATAAATGTGCAATGGAATGGAATATGCATTTAATTTGTACAGGTGGTTCTTTTAGGTTCTGTGCTAAATTCAGATAGAACTGGTGATGAATCAGGTTACAAATGTTTAGCAGCCACAGAACGGCCCAGCACTGGACAGTATGCAGAGAGTATGCAGCCTGGCTGCTGTAATAAACTGTGGACTTGGGGGGGACAGCTGTTGCACATTTAGCTGGATGCAAGTAAAATGCATGTGGAAGTTTCCGAGCAAAGAAACAGCAGGTCTTTCACCACATCAAAAAAATCAGTTTAATAGCTGAGCACCATAGCTCTTTTCCTTCAAATATTTCAGTTTTCGTATAAAACGTTTGATGACAAACAATGAAACATCATGGCTGCTGCAGAGCAGGAATACACATTAAGTTATCGTGCATGTTGTGCCAAAGTTGTGTAATGAAAAAAGTCGAATCTAGACAAAATGTAGTGGCTTGAAGCCCAAATGCTTCCCCACAGATGGTTCACATCTTGTTTGGTCTTGCTCTTAGGAGCACAGGATAATGATCAACTGACTGGAAGAAATTCAGTCTTAGCGTTCAATTCAGTGCCAAGTCTCCCCTATTCAGTTTTTGTTTCAAATGCTGCATTTGGATATTTGGAGCTTTAAACAAAATCAAAAGGAAAGAATTTACAATTTATATATTTGCTTACTAGCTTAAAAAAGTGTTAAAACTGCATAGAAATTTGCCTTAAACCATTCGTGCCGAAACATTACTTCTTACAGCTAAAATGGAAACAGGTTGTGGTCAAAACACAATGCCTGTGGAAAATGTAAATTATCTGCCAATAATCTGCCTGTTTAAGGAAAGTGATCTGGAATGAATGAATGAATAAGTTAATGAATGAATGAATGAATGAATAAATGAATGAATGAATGAATGAAAATAAAGAACTTTATTTTACTAAGATAGTTTTTTCTGAAGTTATTTCCTTTCTTCAGAGCTCCTCTGCCTATCTGTCCAACAATGCAAATGGAAATCTGGCACAGTGTTTAGAATTAGCCCTCTCCCTTCCCTGCCTATTTTGTTTTGTCGAACGAGTTAATATATGGAATGAGCACTTAAGTCTTCCTGCCTTTGCTTAAGGGAAAGTGTGGTGGCGCCTGTGGCAGCCTATTTCACGAGGGAGCTTAGCCATGGGAGCCAGACGGACCCATGGTCAGGTTTTTGCTGTTTAAAGAGAGCAGAGAGCTGATACTGCACGTTTGGATATTTGTGTGTGATGCTATCTACAGTCAATTCCTAATGAAAATGCTCACATCTCTATTTTCTCTATATATGTATTATATACTTATAGCATAGTTTGTTTAACTCAGTGTTACATATTTATTTGTTAGTTGAAAAAGCACAGTAAGTCTGCCCTTAGATCATAATTTTGTGATCGTCGTTCTTGCTNAAAAAAACACAACTCTCTCAGTTAAATCATTCCTTTGAGAGTTGGTAGCATTCCATCTGTCCAGTTCAATTAAAACAGCAACTTATAGCATTTATATAGTGTATTTTATGTAGGATAAAATCCTTAGAGACAATGCTGGACACCGACTATTAGGGTCGACAATAACTAAAGAGAGACAATAAACGAAATAAACGAGACAATAACCGAGGACAGTCATTAACTAATGCTATTGAATCATGTCTAACTCTCACCCTCCACCACCCCCTCCCCCCCCCACCAGTTTGCCTTCTAACTTAATTCTGACATTTTGTTGAGTTAATTGTAAATTGTATGAATGGTGTAAATTGTATTGTAAACTGTATTGTATTTCACTAATTGGGACTCAAATCCCACAAGTCCATTGGTTTTTCTTGGTGTTCTGACCAACAATCCCCTTTGAGACATCTTGAAGACGTGATAAGCGCTATATCAAAATGCAAGGATTATTATTCACTTCCTAGCTGTTTGTGGGACATTGCTGCATGTAATTTGGCTGCTGGGTACACCCACAGAGCACACACAGTCACTCCACTTTACACTGTAACCTTATTAAGTGATTCGAGACATTCTCCCGATGTGAAAGAAGCTGTATCAAATGCAAGGGTAATTATTGGTGGAGCAGCCAGCTTCTGGCCTGACCACAGTGGCTAAGAAGCATAGCCTGGCCTTATCGTGTGACTTAACCACCCATTAACCCACAAAACAAACTTGTTATAAAATGTTGGTGTGTTGGAAAGTGGGAGGAGGGTAGTGGACCACAAAATATTAGCTGCCATTCCCATTTCTCCCATAAATGCTTCACTTTCGCTCATATGTTCATTTCCTCCTTTCTCCGATTCTGCTCCTATTGTACAAAATTTAAGCTTAGCTTACATATGCATTTGTATACACAGTACATGAGC